TTTCATTACTGGCGCCATGTATTCTATATGTGTCATTAATTCTTTATCACTTCATCACCAGTGCAAGTTTTTATTCAGGTTCTAGCCCCATCTTTTGCAAGTTGTGTGGGTGAGGGCAGGACCCTTAAACTTTTCGGCCTCAGTTACCTGCAGGGTTGAGATAGCTGCACCGTCTTCCCCGTGGGGTGGTTGTGAGGATGGGGGGAGAAAATGCTTGTGGGGGGCTTTGCCCACCGTAGGGAGGACTGTCCGTGTAAGGGAGGAGTTTCTCACAGACTGGGACGTGTGAGAATTTAGCGGGCCCTGATGTAGCCCATCCGCCTGCTCCAGCCTGGGAGGCGCTGGACAGTCCTGCAGCGGCGGTCCCACTGGGTTCTCAGAGCTGTGCTGAGTTTTGTTTGTCACGTGCTTGGCTCATCCTGTGGGCTCGTTCTGCATCCCCTCCCCTTGCAGAGGTGGTCCAGCCCCCACGTTCCTCCTTTCCTGGCCTCTGCCTTGGCACCTCTCCAGGAATGGGACTGCACCCCGATCCTTGGAGAGGCACAAACAGAAAGGGCCAGCTGCAGGCAGGCGGCTGAGCCAGAGGAGAAGGCGAGGCCAATCAGGGGCTTAAGAGGACAACATGCCCAGTCCCTCTGGCCTGGCTACTTAAGGACACCATCTGGAGGTCCTGAATCATAAAATGATCCAGCTCCGACTTTCTGCAGAGGTACCCTGGCAAAGGCCTGCTGCGGAGATGACAGCAGCTCCCAATTCGTCCTGGGAGCCTACACGTAAGTGGGGTGGGACCGGCCTTGCAGGTACGGGGGGCGTTCTAGCACAGGCAGTGGATCCAGAAAAGGCGGTGTGAGTGTCAGTGTCACATCTGGCATTGACAGGGAGAAAATGCCCTGACTGGTGAAGAAATACCACATGGCTCTGTGTACAGAGCTTTACAGGAACAAAGCACTTTTTCTCGTTTGACCTTCAAAACAACCCTTTGCAGTGGACCAGAGGACTGAGGTTCAGAGAAGTTGAGTGACTTGTCCAGGGTTCCATAGCTACTAAGACGTCCACCCGGAACTGACCAGCCCCAAGCCCCTTCAAGTGGTACCTTACCTTTTATTGGCAACTTGGCGGAATATGCTTCTGCTGGATTGTAGATGCCCATACTGGGTTGAATAATGTCCCCCAAGAATTTATGTCCACCCGGCTCCTCAGAATGTGACCTTATTTGGAAATGTGGTCAATGTAGATGCAATTAGTTAAGTTAGACTAGGTCATACTGGAGGAGGATGGGCCCTTAATCCAATGCGATTGATGAGAGAAGACACAGACACAAACATGCGCAGAGGGAAGATGCTGTGAAGACCTCAGGGAGAGTGCCGTGTGAAGATGGAGGCAGAGATTGGAGTGATGCTGCCATAAGCCAAGGAGCGCCTGTGGCTCCCAGAACCTGAGCGGGAGGCAGGCAAGGAAGGTTCCTCCGCTGGCTTCAGAGGAAGCACGGCCCCGCCACACCTGGATTTTGGACTTCGGGCCTCCAGAACTGGAGACAATCGAATTCTGCTGTTTAAGCTGCGCAGCGCACGGTACTTTGTTCTGGAGCCCCAGGAAGTGGATACAGCGCCCGTGGCAGGGGTTGTGTCTTACTCTTCTTTGTTCTTCCTGTTCCCTCCAGAGCTGCCATGTCTTTCCCCGTCCTTGACACTTATACACCCAGAGCGGCTCAATCCTGGTAGCCCATCCCCTAGGTAGACAAGGGTTTCAATCCTTGACTGAGATTATATTTATTGCAGCAAATTCACCTGTCTCAGGTGCCTCATTAGACACTGTCACACCTGTCTAATCCTATTTGGCTCTGGCTTTTATTTAGTGTGACATCTACCTTCTCAGCTATACCAAGAGTGTGCCCTGTGGGCATGATGTTGTCTGGGAGGGCAGGTAGACGGCGGTGTGGCCATTGTGCCTTGGGAACGGGGTTTTGTCTTGCAGCCCCCTCAGAGAATCCCTGAGTCCTTCGGCCTGGGGCTGGTGGTCTCAGGCTGGCGCTGAGGGGTCATGCTGGATCTGCTCTCGGCCGTCAAGCGTGGGCTGGACCAGTGAAGGCGGGTGTAGGCCTGGGGCCATGGCCTTGTTTCTCGGGGGGCAGAGATGCTGAATTTTCTGCTTTTGCATTAGAAGGCCCTCCAAGGCGAGCATCCGATCTTGCTCAGGCTGTCACATAAAGGGAAATCTTGAGAAGGGCAGTGACCCTCCCTCCCAAAAAAGGTATTTCCCCTACCAGAGCCATTGAGCCAGGCCGTTGCAGATATTTGAGTCTAATCTTTGCCTGTTTACTGTTTCTGTCGCTGTCCCTGGATAGCCTCTTTATGCTGGGACTTCCTGCTACTTCTCCTTGTGCTGAAGGTGGGCTGGGAGGGGTGGAAGGAAGGCAGGTTAGGGGTGATGGAGAAGAGGTGGTGAATCAGAAAGAACATGGGCTCACTTTGAGTCCCAGCTTAGCGATCTTCTAGCTAAAGAAAGTCTGAAATATGTCTGGAAACTAGGCTCGCTGGAAGAGATCTCATTTATCTTTGTAAATGAGTGCCTGGCACACAAAAAGTACTTAAATGTTGCTTGAGTAAATTTAGTTTCAAACACAACTCCTGGGGGCCAGCCCTGTGGCCGAGTGGTTAAGCTTGCACGCTCCGCTTTGGCGGCCCAGGGTTTTGCCCATTCGGATCCTGGGCACGGACATGGCACCGCTCATCAGGCCACACTGAGGCGGCATTCCACATGCCACAAGTAGAAGGACCCACAACTAAAAATATACAACTATGTACTGGGGAGATTTGGGGATAAAAAGCAGAAAAAAAAGAAGATTGGCAACAGTTGTTAGCACAAGTGCCAATCTTTAAAAAGAGAACGAAAATGCCCCAAAACCAAAAAAAACCCATCACTCCTGCTGCAAAGGGAGATAACTCTGGCAGGAGTGTAGGGGAGAGTCGGGGAGACCAGGTAAGAGGCAGTTGCAATGGTTAGGGGGAAAGATGGAGAGGGCCTTAATTAAGGCGTGGTCCGCAGGGATGGAGAAGATGAAGAGGAGGGGACATATTCTTCATTGATATTCTACACCGTGTTGTGCCCTATGCTATGTGCTATATGTAAGATAACTAATTTTGTCCTAATAATCTTGCAAACTCAGTCTTAACGTTCCCGTTTCACAGATGAGGGAACTGAGGGACCTGGCCCAACACCACACGTTTTGTGCTTGGCAGGTGATCAGAGCACAAGCTTGCGCAGGACGATGGCTGCTGGAATTTGAGGACATTGCTGATGCAGAATCCAAAGGACTGGCTGTGGGAGGAATTGGGGATGACTCTGAGGTTTCTCTGTGGGTGATGAGTTGACAGTTGTTAATGGGACCATTAACAGATGAGTTCATTGGGTTGACCCCGTTGGAAGAGGGAAGGCTTTTAGATTGTCTACGTCTAGGCCTTGCCAAATCCCGCAGATGATCATTTATTGATAATGTTGGTTCCTCTGGCTTGCCTGAGTGCTTTTGGCCACGAAGTGATGCTCAGGTAGAGGTTGCTCAGCTCCTTGAGGCCACTCGGCCTCCATGGGATTCCTAGGATGCCGACACAGTGCCGCCAGGTGGTGGAAACCTACTTCCTTACCCCGGCTCCCCACTTTGCTTCCAAGTAGACTTATCTCAGGCCTGAAAGGCCATCAGTGAGCAGCACTTCATGAGGTTCAACATGCAGACCCGGTCCTGGCTGTCCCTCACGCGGTCTCCCTTAGCTCTGCTCCTCTCCCTCCCCTTTACCCAGAATCAAAGTTCTTGAACTTGAAAGTCTCTGGCCCAGGCCGTCCCTTGACCTCATCCTGGGCTCTGTGAGAGTCTCTCATTCATCAGACACTTACTGAGCACTACGATGTGCTGGGCACTGGGGACACACAGAGGAATGAGGCGCCTCCCCTGCTTCTGCAGCTCTTTGACAAGGTGCAGATGGTGACCTGGCCGGATATCTCACTGTGATCTGCTGGTGAGCAAGGCGGTGGAACAGCAAACAGAGCCAGAGTCAGGGCAGCCCACCGAGGAGGTGACATTTGAACTGAGCCTATGAGCGTGAACAGGACTTGGTCAGGTGGAAAAGTGGGAGCCAAAGGGGAGAAGGGCATTCACAGCGAAGAGAAGAGTTTGTGTGCGTTTGGGGAACCAGCTATTAATTCTATTAAATAAATAAATAAATAAAAATTAATTAACATTTATTGGCATCTTCTCTTTGCCAGCGTTGCGTTGGGGTCTGGGAAAAGAAGTAATACGTGGCCCCTATTTTGAGAAATTCATAAGACATATTCTTTTGCAGGACCTGTATGCAAAATAGGGCATTTGGACACAGACCTGTGTCCAGACTAGAAGTTCCAAACTAGGTTCTTGAACTCAGGGATTATGCAAGATGATCCATTGGGATAGGAGAAAAAAATACTGAAACTTCTATTTATGTGTATTTTCAAATTAAAACTGAAGAAAGAATTTGAGCTTTTCTAATAGTTGCTCTATGGGTTGACCCTGGTACTTGCACTTAGCCCCGATGTCACACATGTTGCGTGGGTCTGATGGGGTCTGAGGGAAGCGGGGCATGGGGACGTCCATGACAACCCACAGATGGGTCCTTGCATCTTCACCCACTTTTAGCGTATTGTGACCTATTTACACTTGCTCGTGAAGTGGATTTGTGGGTGGTCTTGTCTAGTTTTAACTAAACAGACCCTCACACAATGGACAAGGAGCTTAGTGAGTTTTCTGAAAAGATACAGGAGGTTGGAGAGAAGGCCAGTAATGCAAGCATAAGTAGAGAGCAAGGAAATGGCAAGGATGTTGCTCCCTGACTCTTAGAATGGGCTCCTCATTATCGTTCCGTCTTAAGTTAAAAACTATAAAAATCTAATCATAATTGATAGAAGCTGACCAGAAATATTCAAAATTGTCAAGATGTTTTGAAATATAGATTCAAATCTCCTGATATTAGCAATACTATTTCTCTAAGGGTTTATTGTCCTTCAGATTTTGGCTAATGATGGCAGTACACGTAAACATAATTTACATGCAAATAAATATACATAAGTGAGGGATGGGTGCCAAAATTTTTTATCATCAGGGATCAAAGGGGTTTGGAGAACACAGGTCTGGACAATAAGGAGCCAGGAGGAGTTGTTGAAGCAGGAGGATGATTTGTTTTTTTCTTCATTAATTTTGGAAAACCCTTCCACCCCTGGCAGCAGTGTGGAGTGAGACTGGGGTAGAGAGGACAGTAGGGGACTATTGCAGAAGTCCCGGTAGGGACGATGAGGTCCTGAACCAGGTCAGAGGAACCAGGAGAGCAGAGAGAAATTTTACATGTGGATTAGACTTGGTGACTAGGTTCGGAAAACAAGGCTGGCGGGGGATCCAGGGTGAGTCCCAGTTCTTTGAATGACCCGGCAAATAGTGGTACTATTTACCAAGGTGGCAAACAGAGGTGAGGGATGGGTTTGGGAAGGAAGATGAAGAGTCTGGATCTGAGCAGGTTGAGTCGGAGACGCCAGTGAGAGCCCTGGATGGAGCTGGCCTGCCGGGTCCAGCTTCTGGAGGTCTCGGGGCTGCAGGCACCCTTCCCCAGGCAGGGCCTGCTGAGTGATGGTGATGACAGTGCTTGAAGGAAATGAAATGAGTCAGTTGGGCCGTAATAGTATCTTCTGTCCAGTCTTCTCGATTCTAGCCAGGCTACTAGGCACCATGTCCCAGGGATCAGACCCAGACCACTTGTATTTCATTTCTGGGAACCACCCAAAGTATAGGTACCCCTCATCTTCTGCCTCCTCTGAGCCATCTTGGATGTGACCAGGCCACTTACTGATGGTACTTCAGACTCAAGTTATTGGGAAAGCCGGATTAGGCTGGGTGTGTCCTTGCTGTCATCTTCTGCTGATAAGATAAGCAAAGTGCAGGGCAGGGCAGGGCAGGAGCTGGGTGGGGTGGGATGGGGTGTGGGTGCTGTGTAGTCACCCAGGTAGGGACAGGTGTTGGACCACTGAGAAGGCTCCACTGGAGGCCATGCTTTACAACAGAAATATTTCATTCTGTCCTGGTCTGGTCATTTCTGAGTTGGGATATCCGGGTTGCTCCAGTTTGGGGTGTGCTTGACTGAGAGGCCATCTGGGGTTTGACAGGGAGAAGGCTATCCATTTTATCAGTGATGACTCTGAGGATGGCACCCAGAACCACCATCCTGAACAGGATCTTGGGGTCTGTGTGTATGGGGGTGGGATGGGGTGTGTGAAATCGATACAAGGTTGGCAGCTATCTTATCTCCCATTTTAGTATTTTTCTTTGGAAGGGAAAAGAAGAAAACCAAAGAAAAAAAATTGAGTAATTTAAGAGAGTAAAGTAGATTTAGAAATAAAGACAGGAAGATGGAGATGAGAAAGAGACAGAGAAGGAGAGACAGAAAACAGGAAGGAGAGTGGAAATGTCCGTAGAAAATTACCCGCTGGAGGAAAGAGAAAGAAGAGTGGAATTAAGACAGACAGAAACTGAGGGAGACAGAAAAACAGACGGAGGTTGATGAAGAGGCAGAAACTCACAGACGTGGATGAGACAGAGGGCAAGGGGTTGGGCGTGTGGAGGGAGGGATAGAGAGAGGCTGTGTGGGTGAAGTCCTTGCCCGCCATCTTCCTTCCTTCCCCGCCATCTGCCTGGTTCCCAAACACAAAATCGAAGGAGCCAGAGCCCCAGTGAACTGCCTGTCTCCATTCCTAACCATCGGCCGGTTTGCAGGAAGAGGTCAGAGCGGCTTTCTCTGCTGGACTGGGGCCCTTGAACAGGGTCTGGAGAGGAGCAGGCTGACCTGCGGTCCTGGCCCCGTGAACTGGAGGAGTACCTGATGCGAGGCACTAGCTCTGGGTGCTTCTCTCGGCCTGCTTTTCTTTATGAGGGAACAGAATTGAAAGCCTGCGTGGCGGCTGGTCAAGGGCCTTCCAGTTCCGAGGGGGAGATTGAGTTCTAACAAACCTGGACTGAGGTAGCATGTGGGGTGGCTGTCCTTTGTAACCGTCACACATTGAGTGGCATTGTTACTTGCACACCAACAGCCAGGCTGTGGGCTGCAAAAGCGGGAAACCTCTGAGCAGTGAGGGCTGGTTTTGCAAAGTCAACTCATAATGGGAAGAGAAACGCCTTCTTGGAGGCCCAGGGAACGGAGATCTGACTGGCTTAGTCAGTGAGACTCACGCATCTAGAGAAAGAAAGTGTCATCAGAAGGGGGATCCCGAGTGTGGAGGAAATGGTGTTCACAGATCCAAGCGTGCCCGGGCGAGAGGACAGGGCCTGGGAGCGGGGGCACAAGCAGGTTCTGCTTAGAGAGGTACCCTCTGTGGAGCCCTGGTGGTGTTTATGGGGCCCTCCCGGAGCGCCCACTCCACTTCCCTGGTCTGGTTGTGTGTTCACCTGGTAACCCTGTTACTGCTTGGGCCTCCCCAGGACACTGATGCTGGGAAGAAGATAACCTGAGGTGGGAACTCACCACACTAGTCCCTGGAGTAGTTTACTATTAAAAGAAAATCAATATATGGCATAACAGTAGCGAGAAATGCCACTTAGTGAGTGAGCACTTAGCAGACTCTGCTAAATGCTTTACGTGAATGAGTCATCCAGTGCTCCCAGCGATCTTGTGAGGTGGGCATTATTTCCTCCATTTCCAGATGGGAAAACAGGCCCAGATCTGGGGTTTGCAGCTAGTGCTTGGGGGAGGCGGGAATCAGGAGGATGACGGGCTTGGAGCCCAGGCCCATCGACAGCCTCTCAGTCACCGCACTGAATATGGGCAGGGTGTGTCTGTCGTGGAGGGGGTGGTGCAGGGAGTCCCATCTCTGGACAGGCAGGGTTGCAATGAGATGCTAGAACTGGTGACTCGGCAGAAGTGGTGATTCTGGGAGGCTCTGCTGGCCCGGGGACCTCCCCCTGGGAGTCCCCCAAACCTGCAACCAGGACCACTGTGACCGGAGGACGCAGACTGGAGGAGCCTTCTCAGTCCCTTAGTCTTGGATCAGTAAGCGAAGATTTAGAGGGCCAGCGTGGGTGTCTGCCTGGGGATGAAAGGACGAGGGCAACTCAGCAGGACGGGAGCGGACGTCTGTCCTCCGGGCTGGCTGAAGAGAGCTTTGGAAGGCGACGGGAACCATCATTCCAGGAGACCTGGAGCTGGCAGGGAACCGGAGGAAGCGAGGGGAGAAGGGGGTTGTTAGAGACGAAGAAAAGGGGAATCCCTCTAGCCTCCAGCTCTGTGGAGGGGCCTCCAGGCAGCCAACGCCTGTCTCCCCACCCAGGACCCAGGGGCACCCGGCGTGGTAAGCTTGGAAAGGAAAAGAGCCAAGGACGATCTCTCAGGGGAGCGAGGCAGCCACCTCTGGGTTCCCACCACTACTCCTTCCCAGGGCCGCCTCCCGCCATCCACCCTCCACTGCCAGCAGGCAAAGCAAAACCCTGCCTCATGCCTTCCGAAGCCAATAGATCTTATTTTAGTATTTTCCAGCTCTTTGATCAGCACCATGAGTTAGTTGCAAGAGGGCTGTAGGGGGGATGGAGAGGGGATGTTCACCCTCGGAGCATGGGGAGGGGGCCGGAACTCCAGTTGGTGGAGGGAGAGCTCAGCCTCCCTCCACATCCTTGCTCACCCAGGCGGGTGTAAGGTGAAGAGTCGTCTGGGCGCTAGGTGGAAACTCCAGGCAACAGCCCTTCCCCACTCTGGGGAGAGGCGTGAGAGTGGATGTGGTTTGAGAGAGCCCCCAGAGCGTGAGAATGGGGTTGGCGGCTCGGGGCCCTGGCCTCCTGGTGCCCCAGCCAGCCCCTCCTCTTTGTCCCACACAGGTGGGTCTGCAGGTTTGTCTGCTAGGGCGGTGCACCCTCCACCGCTCCCAGCGGGCTCCCCATGCTCAGGGTGAGGAGATAACATGCTAATCAAGTTCTTCTGGCCTCCCCCGCCTGCAGGTTCTTAGCTGGCTACAGCACAGCACGTATTCTCCTTCCATTTTCCCTGCCATAGAGGGAGCAAGAGGGCGCTGGTCCTGAGTAGGACCCTGCTGCCCTATTGGGGCCCCTGGTTCTCTACTAGCCTATCCAGCAGGGGTTGGGAACCTCACCCTGCGCCCCCAGATCTAGGTACTCCATGGTTTCATCTGGGCCCAGAGTGAGGCAGAGGATGGGGGAATCCAGATGCTTTTCCAGGTGAAGCAGCAAAGGAATGGAGACAGAGCCACATCTAGAGGGCCTGCCGAGACTGGGGCATCCTGACCAGCCCAGCGCAACCAAAGGCCCATCATTTTGCTTGTCTTGGCAATGGAGCTTCCATGACACACAGTATTTCTTTTTTTCTTTTTTTTTTTGCAGGGGAAGATTCACCCTAAGCTAACATCTGCTGTCAATCTTCCCCTTTTTCTTCCGTTTTTTCCCGCTAAAGCCCCAGTACATAGTTATGTATGGCTGTAAATTCTTCTGGTTCTTTTACATGAGCCACTACCACAGCATGGCTACTGACAGAGAGGGGTGTGGTTCCGTGTCTGGGAACCAAACCTGGGCCACCCTTCGTGCTGAACTTTAACCGCTAGGCCATCAGGGCTGGCTCAGTATTTCTGTATTTTTAACAATGGTAGCAGGCACTGTGTAGTGCTTTGCAATTGGCAAAGTTCTTTCACAGGTTTTCTCATTTAAGCCTTAAGGCAGTCCATGAGGTGGGCCTTATCAGGCTGCTCATGGTTCCAATTGAGGGAGGTGGCCCCTCAGGGAGTGGCAGAGCCAGAAACCCAACAGGTTTGAGGGCTCTGCTGGGTGCTCTCCTCTTCTCTCCAGAACATTCGTTAGAAAACATCACTCCCCTTTCCTTACGGAGGCCAACTGCTCACGTGTCTAGGGGTTAAAGGTGACAGGGCCCTCCGCATTCATGACCTCATCTTCTCACTTTTCGCATCATTTCTATGGGATGGGAAGACATTTACTGTGCGGTCCCATAGCCCTCTGGGATTATAGCATGTTTACAGATGGCTGGGTCTCCCAGAGGTTTTTAGTGCCCTCCCTGCCTCCTGCAGATGCCAGTGCTGGACCAGGCAGGTGCTCAGTAGTGCCTGGTGAATTGGACTGAGGCTGTGCCCAGGAATGCCAGCCTGTGAGAGACACCAGAGTCAGGGAGCTGGGAGGGCCCCACCTGTCCAGATAAGGATCCCGCCTGGTGAGAGGAGGCTGGTGGAGGCCTGGGCCAGGAGAGAGGCCTCACCCCAGCTATGCCAGGGGCTCTGGTGACATTTCTGCTCAATTTGTAACTTGCCCCATTTGATCTCTCTCCTGCTTCCGAAAGTTACCAGCAAAACGTCAGGGACACAGGGCTCTGTTTCAGGGAAAGGAAGATGAGGGAGGTGCTCTGTACCTGCTGCCTCCTCCTCTGCAGAAGGACACCTCCCGCTCTATTTCTTCCCCTGGTCCCCAGACCTGGGCTCTTGGTCAAGTCCCAGAGCAGTGTGGCCTAGAGGCAGGACATCCTCCGTACTCCAGGCTTGGAGTCACGGGCAGACCCAGTCGGGGCCCCCGGCTCTTGGCTCCCACTTGCTTTAGTAGAGAGGTGCCCGCCCCGAGTTTCCCCAGGCGCTGAGTTTTCTCAGGTTCTTACAAGTGGGTTTCTGATCCGGTCCCTATGCCAAGCTCTTGTTCTAGGACTTGCACTCAGGTTATCATGACCTCTGGCTCTGGCCTCTCACCTGCCCATTAGGCACCCCATCCTGAGGTCCATCATTTCCCCCTGTGCCATGCCATCATTGCCTGCTGGACCCCCATCCACAGCTGCCCCGGCTGCCCGGGCCTGCACTGCCCCTCCTTGGGTCCATTTCCAGCCCCGGGTCTTTCCCACAAGCCTGGCCCTGGGGTGAATCCTGACCTGAAATTGGCTAGGAGGAGAGAAACCTCAGTGGAAGGAAGGGTGAACCAAGAATCAGGGACAGTGGACCACCCTGGGGGCCATGGGGAAGTCCTGAGAGGGACTTAGCAGCCAAAGTGAGCCTATGAAGCTGGTCCCTCTGCTTCATGGACTGTTCTCCTGGCCCTTTAACATGGTGGCCAGCCCCATGGCCTGGGGGCCTGAGATGTCTTTAAAAACAATTACAGAACTTGTTGTAATTAAGTAGGACTGACTCCCAGCTAGGTCATAGGGTCAATAGACTTTAATCCCCTGCTTGTGGTTACCCTACCCCTGGGCCAGGTATTTATTTTTAAGCTATTCATGTTTAATTCCACAAAAATTGCACCATGAAGCAGACATTATGGGAGATTACTGGGAAAATGAAGATAGGAGTGACTTTGGGCCTGCTTCACATTTAACTCAGGTTCAGTAGGTTGACCCCTTCTAGTGGACTGTGACATGTGGCTTCCACACAGACTGACTTGCCTTTGAGACACAGATGCTTCAGGTCTCTGTGGTTGGAGCAATTAAAAGTTGGGCTTGGGGCTACAGCCCTGTGTGGTGAGTGCTCATTACATCTTCCTGTTGTTGTTATTAATCATTGTAGTGATAGCAGCCCCGCAGACTGGGGACAGGTAGGTGCCAAGCAGATTTAGTGGTGTGTGTATGTGTGTCTGCTGGGGGTTGGGTGGGGAGGAGTGGCAGGGTGGAGAGAACCAAGATGCCATGTGACTCAGAGTGTGGATGGCCCCGCTCCACCCTCCCCTGCTGGTTACCTGTGGCTTTGTGTCCTCCTGGCTTTATAAAACTCAATCCCCAGTTGTCCATTCTCTAGCCACGCTCTTCCACATCCTCCAGCCTTCTCACTCCCTCGCTCTCATTACACCTGCCTCTCAGCCTCCTCAAGATTCCCGGCTCCTGAACCCTCGAATTTCTCTCAGTCCATCAGCCCCTTCTTGGCTTTGCTTTCAGCCCGCTCCTGCCCGGCTCCCAAGGTTAATCCCCTCAAGATGCCACTCTTTAGCAAATACCTTCATCTTTGTTCTGCCACACCTGGCCAGCAAAACTCTAACTCAGAGCAAGCCAACCATCCACCTACACCACCCCTGCACCTGGGATGCTGAAAAAGAATCCTTCCGTGTTGTGGATGTGACCACAGCAACAGCATTGTCTCAAACCCCGAGTGGAGCTCTCCCCACCCTTGGAGATCTCTCTGTATGCCTGTGGTCAGCTCTCTCCCCCAAGAGGCTCTGTCAAATTTTCAGGGCTCTCCTAGAGTTCCTCATCGTGCTGCCCCCTCCCCCAATACTCTCAACAAATGTCCTGACCTCCTACAGCACAGAGAAAGTAGAGACGCTCAGATAAGAGTACTTTCGATTTTTTGCCTCCTCTTACCCCTCCCACAATCACAGACATGTCTATATCCAAACCTCCCTAATTTCCCGTCAGTTTTAATGGGAGATTTGTTCTTCTCCTCAAAGCCTTCTGAGCTCCGTTCTCTCCTTCTTGAGAAAGTGAGCATGAGTTGGCGGCTCCTTCCGTGTCTTCACTGCCTCTCTCTCCACAGCGTTAGGGGAGTCCAAGTCTCCCTTCTCTCAGACACATCTCCCTGGACTCTGCGTCCTGCTCCAGCTCTGCCACCAGATTGCTCTCCTTCCCTTCACTGCTCAGCCTGGGCAGAGAAGTCATCCCTTATCACCAGGAGGCTCCCATCATCTCTCTCCAGGATGACCCTTATGGCTGCCTAAAGGGTCCCTTTAGCTTGGTCTTGCTCCTAACCTGTCTGTCCCCACACTGTGGCTGGAGTGACCCTTCTAAGGAGCCAGTATAACAGTGCCTCTCCTTGACAGAGCAGCAAGGCCCCCATGACCTGCCCTCAGCAACCACTTGACATAGCCTCTGACTGGCCACGCTGAGCCTTTGTTTGGGGCCATGTGGTCTCTCCTGCCTCTTGGCCTTCAGTTTAGAGGGCTTTCTTCCTTCATGGCCTCCTCTGCTTGGAAACCGACTACTTAGTCATCCTTTACAAATCAATGCAGCTATGGCCTCATCCAGGAACGCTTCCTTGGCACCACCCCCAACTCTGGGCTCTGTGTGGCCCCCAGTGCTCTCAGAACCCTCATGCTCACCTCTTAAAGCACTTACTGCCCTGTAATATTTCAGCTCCTCCATCTCCTTTACCAGAAGTCTGGGGCTGTATCTCTCATTTCCATTTGCCTGCTCTGGTTGTCAAAACAACGGTACATGATTATCAAATAAATAATCAAGGAGAACTTCCTAGAAAAGGCAATTATTAAGTAGTATTTTGTAGGAAGACGTTAAATGGTGTGAAAAGGAGGATGTGAACGAGCTGTAGAGTGGGGTTCTCTGACTCAGATTCTATCAGGAACTACGGTGAACTCAGGGAAATGACTAGAATATTTAATGAGGGGAAAGGGGACACCAGCAGAAAGCCTGCCTCGTTGAAAGGTGTCACGTTCAACTTATGACTACAATTCTGTCCAGGCTGAACAAAGTACAGTAGTTTGCTGTCCCTGATTCCAGGTGACGGGGCTGGGGGAGGTGGTGGTGGCACTGTGTGGCGCAGAGTGAGGAAGGCTCTTGGAATAGAGTAGCTGGTGGGCTCCTTAAGAAATCAAAAAGGGGAGGGTATGACTTTGCTGTGTGACTCCCTGTGGGATCAGGTCTCCATAGCTTATCCTGGCCTTGGCACAGATCCCAGGTCTCTTGGAGATCCCTAGCATTTGAGGCACGCATGCAGAGGCTGCCAGACTGGCCTTGGAAGCCACAGGCAGGAGTGTCAGACCAGAGACAAAGGAAGCAGGGATGGCCTTCTCTTTTCTGCTCTGAGACCTCCTAGACAGATGTGAAGACCACTTCACTGCCAGGGTTAACCAGGTCCGCGGGGCGTCTTTGGGACCATGGGTGAGATGAGTCCTCATAGTCCCTTCCAGCCAAGGAATTAAAGAAACTGTAAAACTTGATCCTCCATGTGAATCAGACGCTGGTAATCACGTTGCTCTGGGGTGTCAAGCTGCTGTGCAGGATGTCCAAGGATTGGGCCCTGCCTGTTGCCTTTAGTTCTTGGGGAAGGGGGGGGGGGTGCCGGTGGCCATTTCAGCCACGAGGGGGCGCACAGGCTCCAGGAATGGTTCCTCAGGGCTCGGCTTCCTGGAGGAGCTGAATGAGGTATCCAGCAGGGGTGGCCAGAGTGTGAGAGCAATGACTGCCTGGGACACCAGGATTGAACTCTGACCTTTCAAAGTCACTCTGCCATTGTTCCCAGCAGTAGGGCCATCCATCCACTCATTTACTCTAGAAACATTTGCCCAGAACCCGGGAGGGCCAGCTCCGAGCTGGTAGGCTCTGGGGATAGAGACTCAGATCAGCCCGTCTGGACCCGGGGAGGAGCGCACAACCCGGGCAGGGAGGCGGACCCTCAAAACTAAAGTTTCCATGTGGGGTATTTGTGCTGTGACAGAGGGATGTACTGAGCACCATGGGGGCACCCAGAAGGGAGTGTGGAACTCTCGGGGACTCGGAGGAAGGCTTCCCTTTTTGGGTAGTGTTTGCTTGGGTCCTGAAGAGGAAGTAGGAGTGCGACAGAGGGCAACAGGCTGAAAAGTTAGGGAAAATGCAGTCCGGGCAGGGGAATGCCATGAGCCCAGGAACAGGCCGGCCTGTCTGAGTTGGCTAGACAGGCGAATGTCCAGTGGGAGGAGGCTGGCCAGTGGAGGGTGTTGGCCTTCTGGTTGGGGGAGAGATGGGAGCTTATCTCTGAGGAGAGAGGAGTCCTACTTGGGAACGCCGGCAGACCCAGGCTTTGTGGGGGCTGAAGCTTACACGGTTTTGGAGGCTTTCTTAGAACAAGAATACAAAGTTATTAATGCAAAATTAGGCAGAGGGGCTTGGAAGGGTCAATGCAAGTAAGGGGCCTGAAGCTGAAGTTTATTAGCTTCTAGCTTCCTGGAAAATCCCCCTCTGCGTGGGAGACCATCTTTCACATCTTCTCTGCTTCCTTTCAGGAACTCCCTGCTGACACCAAACTGCTTTGGCTCTCTTCCTGTCTCTCTCCCTTCTTGGGTGTCCTGGAGTCCCGGGGAGCCATACAAGGCTGGATTCAGGAAACCAGAGTCTGCGGTCTCTTCTGGAGGAAGGGAGGCAGAGCAGTTCTGCTGCAGGCAGGTGGGAGGTGGGGGGGATGACCTTTCATATTGACTCTACACAAATAGTGCCCCGCAGCTGTTCCAAGCGGCACCTTTGACTCTATCCTGCAACTCTTGTTAGTGCCTTAAATAACGCACAGGTGTGGCGGATTTTTCCCATCTGCCAAGCGCTCTCACACCTCTCACGGTGTTCTCACCACCTCCCAGTGAGGCGGGTCAACTCTTCCCTCAGCAGCAGGCTCATGGTTGGGCCTAAGGATGCCTGGCACGCTGGACCATGGCAGGTGGGCCTTCACGCCTAGGGCTCCCCCTTCTTCCCCCTGTTGCCTCTTGTTCACTGTCAGCCTGACAGTAATTAAACCCAAGATTGCCCTGCTCGGGCACCTGCACAGGGAAATGATTCACCATAGAACTGAAACCACAGATGATGGGCTGGGGTTGGTGTTCCCGCTGCTGCAGTGTGTTTTGGTCGTAAGAGCAGGCACAGGTAGGGTGGAGCTGACAGCCTTTCTGACCCTGTTTGTCTGCACTGTGGTGAGACAGTTCTCACCTTTAGCCCCTTCCTGGGTGGCCGGGAGAGCTCACACCTGGGGAAAACCTCGATCTCAGGCTGTGCCTGAGCAATGGATCTCTGAGACTCAGCACTGATTTGCAGGATCTCCAGGGTGGTCCAAAGCCCACGTTTAACTTGGAGGTCTCAGCCAGGACAGGGGGAGGAGAGAGGTGGCCCTTATTCTAGCAGCTTTAAGCAAATAAGCAGTACAGAACATCTGCTCTGTTAGACTCTGTGCTAGCCCTAGGAGGACAGAGATGAATCAGCTGTGGCCTTGTCCTCACGGCTCACTCCAGCATCCACAGCCTCCTGTGTGTCAGGCACTGAGCTGGGCTGGGAGACACAGAGATGGATGAGCGACTGTGTGCCCATGCCCAAGGAGCTCACAGTCTCAGCAGAGAACAGTAAAAAGCATAACACAGTCTGTACGAAATTGGGAAGGACGCTTTCTCTGCTGCTTGTGCCACTGGCTGGAGTGAAGGGCAATGCCTTTGACCTCCATTGATTCTTTCTTGGCCCTGGACACAGGCAAAGACGAGCCTGCTTCTAACTCCCTTATGCATCCCCACAAAGAAGCATAGCGGAACCCTCTCTTTCTCCTGCTTCCCCAAATGGCAAGAATCAGAAATGGGAGAATGGAATGAGTCAAAGCATCTTCCTGCTCCCAGAGAAGTTCTTTCACAGGCACTTAGAGGAAGTAGATGGCATGGGATGGGAATGGGCTGGGGGAGGTCAGTGGAGCTATTTCCTCCAAAGGGTGCACAGAGGTTTGGGAGCCTGCGGTCTGGAGTTCAATACACAGCAGGGTGACTAGGGTGACAAGCAGGAGAGAGAGAGATGGGAATCATCCAAGTATTCAGGTGTTTCTAGATGCTTCAAGGCCAGATCCAGAAAACTCCAAAGCCTCTGAACTTGCAACCATACAAAGCAGCCCTGGTTTATCCTATTTTCTGCAACATGCACAACTCAGCCTGTACTTGTGGTCGGGAAGCAATAGGTAGGGGCTGGAGGAGGCTGGGGTGAAAAGGAGGCTGTGAGGCAGGAGGACCCCTGAAGGTGCTCAGAATGAGTACCCGCTACTCCGTGAGTGTCAGCTGTCTCCTCTCCTTCCCCTCCTGCCCCCAAAGTCTGGCAGACATCAAAAAGGAGAGTTAAAGAGTGAAAAGCTCCTTGCCCTTGAACTTCCCCCACGGCAGCAGGAGCCTGACGGTAGGGGTGGCTGATGGTGGGTGTGGGTGGCTGGGTGCCAGTGTCCCAGCTCCCTTGGGCTGTGCACGACTTCTGGCCTGTCTGAGCAGAGACTTGGCTTTGTCTGGGCTAGAGCTTCAGCACAGGTTCCCCCGGCTGGCCCTGTGGCACCCCTTCCTTGCAGGCTTCGGAGCTTGGGAGCCTCTGGGGTCACTCCATGCCCAGGACACTACCTGGGAGAAGGAATATACTCTATGATTCCCCAAAGCCCTTTGCTTCTTACCTCGTGTGAGCCTCACAACAATGCCACGAGGTAATATCACTCATTACCTCTTCATTTTACAGAAGACGATCTTGAAGTTCAGAGTGGCTCACCCAAGATTGCACACTGGTGTGTGCTGGGGCTGGGGCTCCAGTGCATGTCCCTCTGAAGGCAAGCCCTGTGCTCTTTCCAGGGCTCTAAAAAGAGGTTACACAGCCTCCGTATACCCGGTCCTCCAAGGAGCCCGGGCCTCTCGAAACCCCCCAGGCCCCAGAGCCCCACTATGGCATGAGGTGCTTTGAGCTCAGTGGCACAGGTCCCCCCCAACCTCCCTCAGCATCCAGCAGGGGAGGCACAGTTTACGTGGAGAAGGTGTTGCCAGGAATCCAGGCAGGTGCAGTTAGTGAGTCACGCAGACTTACAGCCCCTGAACTTTTTGCATCCTGCCTCCCATCTGTAAACAATTTTGCGTGTGCACTCTGATATTTCTGTATTTATAAATTATATTTGTACTTATGCTCTAGTGTATGTAACCCTTATAAAACACACAGGAAAAAATGTAAGTTAAAAAACGAGAAGGATGGCATAAACCTGCCAGAGTTACAGCTTCCCTTTGAGTTATTCTCAGTCTCCGGTTCAGTGTTTGGACCAGCCCTCTCGGCCAGCCCTTGGCAGAGCCGTCCCCCTTCTCTGGCTCACCGTGGCGTTGGTCCCCGGTGCTGCCCGGGCGGGGCAGTGGCTGCCCTGCTGAGCCTGGTGGAGGGCCCTCGCGTCTGCAGACGTCTGATGTCCTGGGCCTGCTGTCAGCATCAAGGGGCCCTTGTCTCCTGCGGCTGTTACAGTTCATGCTCGCAAGGTCTGGTGGGAAGTTTAGAGAGAGAGCACTTTGAGTTTTGGGTTACTGAAGTAGTGTATTATGATTATTGACTAAACTGTTGTGGTTTTTACTTATTCTTCTTTGCAACTCTTCGACCTGGGCTGTAGACCTGAGCTGGTGGGTGGGAGGAAATGTGAGGTGCAGGTTCCCCCTCCCCCTTCATGGCTCAGAGCCTGTGATGTTTTCTTCCTTCAGGACATTTTCTTCCCAGAAGGCATGGCCGCCTCTTCTGGGATGGCCTGGTGTTCGGCTGTTACTCATATGATTAATCCAGAGCTGTGTATGACCTTTGCCTCAGCCCCAAGCCACCTGTACCATTATTTACTTACCATTTCTCTTAAACGTGACTCGCTTTTTAAAATTAAATACTTCCTTTAACTTGTCCTAAGCAAGAAAGTCCACAGAAAGCCAGATCTGATGATGTGCTAATTATTATTCTTAAACACATTCAAGTAAATGTATAACTATTACAATAACAAAGTGGCCCAGGTACCACTCTCATCACCTCCTTCATGGCCACTGGGCCCACCCACACTCTGAGGAGCACTGATGTGGAGCAATGAGGAGCGAATCCTTGGCCAGGTTCCATCTGAGCTGGAAAGGCCACCTCCTAAGAGACCAGTGACAAGTCACTTGAAACCCTTAGGGCTGCTTTCTGTATCCCACCCTTCCCAAGACACAGACCCTGTCCTGCAAACCTCGGGCACTGAAACTGGCATCCTGGGGTGGGGTGGAGGGCCACAGGGATCCCCAGCCCACAGCAGTCATTTGCTCAAGCTGATCTAAAGGGACCTTTGCCTTGATTCCCACAAGGTGAGTACCACAGTGGATATCCCAAACTGGTGGCAGCTGAAATATTTTATTTGCTTCTCTGTTTATGCGGGCCAGACTCTTCAAGCAGAGGCAGCATCTTCCCCATCTCTCCCAATCCTTGGTCTCGGAGTAGGACGGTCTAAGATCTGGGGCCCTCCAAGATGGCTGGGGCTGGCTGCCGATGTACTACACATGCCTCCCCCTGGGTGACATCTTGGCTCTACTGGGACACCACCACGACTCCATTCAGGAAGAGCTAGGGGACCAGAGTTGACCTTCCAGGTGTCATCTGCTAGGAAGGCCCTAGAATGCCAACCTCAACAGCCCGACTTGGGGCCGGGGCTCAGTCTTGTGTGTTCTCTCTGTCTCTCTATCTCTGTTCTGTCTCTCTGTTGCCAGACACGTTTTTGACCATTTCTCTCAAGATCACCATGTTAGGAGTGGGGGTAACTCTTAGCAGTCAATTTACTCCTAAGGCTCGTTTAGTAGAAATGAGGCTCACTTCTAATTTTCTCACTGACTCTATCTTGCTCAGAGAAGTACTAAGACCAAGTATTCTTGGGACTGGCATCTACCGAGAAATCTGAAATGTTTATTTACCTTAAACACTTACTCAGAACAATACATCTCCAAACGTAAACACCTTCCTGTCTAACCTTAAGTACATTCAATATGACTCTCACCTTCTTGCTCTTCAGTGTGAGATAACTGGAACTACTTTCTTTGAGAAACTCCCTATACTGACTTTCATACAAGAGACTTTGGAAGACCCATCCCTCTGTCCTTCAGACCCAAATGGTGGCAGTCTGGCTGCAAGAGAATCCTCTGGGGAGTTTCCGGGAAATTGCACCTTCCTGGGCTCCATCTCTGCAGAGTTTGATTAGACAGGTCTGGAGTGGGTCCCAGGTAGCAAAATTCCTTGAAAGATCCTTAGGGGACTCCGAAGCTCTACACATCCTCTTCCTGGCCTAAATTGTGGGGAGAACTTGACTCAGATGGAAGCTGGGGTCTATGAGACACAGGGGTATGATGAGGCCCAGGGAACCACAAATGATGTTAAGATTGCATTTCTGCAGAGCCAGGTGCCAGGACTTAGAGTTCCTTGAGGCCTCGTCTTGGTTCTTTGTAAACCCTATCATCAGCATCAAGGGAGATGCTTATCTTCCTGTGTGCCTGGAAGGAGACTACATAGCCATCTAATCTAAAAGTGGTGTTGACCATGTGACATCAGTTAAAGAGAAAGGGACCCAACCCTCAGCCTTGTTGTGTCATGGGAGGTCATGATATGTCAAGAGACCGTTTCTGCTCTCCCTCGTTCTTGCCTTAGGGATCAAAGGCAGACTTTTGAACAACATCAGTAAGGTGGAGATCTCTGTGGGCTCAAGTGGCTTGATGCCTCTCTGATTTCTGTCCTAGGGGTCAAAGGCTGCTGAGAGATCAATGCAAAGCTGCCAACATTCTAGTGCTTTTCTAGAATATCTCACCTTCAGTGAAGGAAAGTAACTTACTGGATATCTACTGTGTGTCAGGAACCATTCTACTCCTCTTTTTGCACACACGTCTCACTTGATCTTCCCAATAATCATGTGAAGTTAGTATTTTTATCTCCATTTTGACATAGGCGAAGACTGAAACTTCATCTTTCCCAAAGTGACATTTCACCCTCCCAATGGCCTGATTCCAAGTCTTATTCTATGATCTCACCTTACTAAAGCGAGTATTCTGGTTCTGGTGGCCAAGAGTTAGGAAAATCTACCTGAAATGTCCTGTCGGCTCATTCATGATACTGGATTGAAAGACTAGGAGGAAGGGAGGTTAAAATTTGGGGGGCAATGTGTCTTTTTTTAAACTAAGAATTAATTTTTTTAGAGCAGTGTTAGGTTCACAGCAAACTTGAGGGGAAGATACGAACATTTCCCATACACCCCCTCACCCCACACGTGCACCCGACACGTGACCCCATTATCAACATCTCTCATCAGAGTGGTGCATTTGTTGCAACTGATGAACCCACATTGAAACATCATTATCACCCAAAGTCCATAGTTTACATTAGGGTTCACTGGCTGTTATACATTCTAGGGGTTTGGCCAAATGTATAATGACACATATCCAGTATTAGGATACCATACAGAGTATTTTCACTGCCCTAAAAATCCTCTGTGTTCCACCTATTCATCACTTCCCAGCCCCCGTGTCTAGTTTTGAAAAGGAAGATACTTGTTCTTTTATTGTTATTACATGTTTGGTTAGTTTTCTTCAGTAATATATTTTTTTTTTGCTGAGGAAGAGTTGCCCTGAGCTAACATCTGTGCCAATCTTCCTCTTTTTTGTATGTGGGTCACCCCCACAGCATGGCTACTGACGAGTGGTGTAGGTCCACGCCTGGGAACCGAACCAGGACGCTGAAGTGGAACACGCCAAACTTAACCACTAGGCCACAGGGCTGGTCCCAGTAATATTTTTTATTACGCAAATATTCCTGTTGCCAAAAATTAAAATGGTATGAAATTACCGATATGCTGTTCTTGACTTACAAAAATGGCGATTTTTAATTATTTTATTTTTTTTAGAGATTTAATTTTTCCTTTTTCTCCCCAAAGCCCCTGGGTACATAGTTGTATATTTTTAGTTGTGGGTCCTTCTAGTTGTGGCATGTGGGACGCTGCCTCAGCATGGCTTGATGAGCAGTGCCATGTCTGTGGCCAGGATTCGAACCGGTGAAACCCTGCGCTGCTGAAGCGGAGCAGGTGAACTTAACCACTTGGCCATGGGGCCGGCCCCAAAATGGCAATTTTTAATGTTCAATCTAATACTAAGGCAAAACTGGAAAGTCTCTTTTTAATCCTACTCACTCCCACATAATTCGGGACACACAGTCAATTTTAGAACATTTTTGTCACTTCAAAAAAACCCCCACATACCCTTTAGCTATAAACCCCCTTACCCTCCCATCCCTCCCACCCCTAAGCAACCAATAATCTACTTTCTGTCTCTGAAGATTTCCCTGTTCAAGACTTTCATATGAATGGGGTCATATAATATGTGGACTTCTGTGACTGATTTCTTTCACTTAGTGTAATGTTTACAAGGTTCATCCAAGTTGTACCATGTATCAGTACTTCATTCTTTTTTATGGCCAGATGATATTCCTTTGTATGGATCTTACCACATTCTGTTTATCCATTTGTCTGTTGGTGGATGTTTGGGTTTTGTCTACCTTTCAGCTATTATGAATAATGTTGCTATAAGCATTTGTGTACAAGTTTTCGTGTGGGCATATGTTTTCAGTTCTTTTGGGTATATACCTGGGAGTGGAATTGCTGGATTGTATGGTAACTCTATGTTTGAGAAATGGCCAGATTATTTTCCAAAGAGCTGCACCATTTTACGTTCCTACGAGCAATGTATGAGGGTTCTCATTTCTCGACATCCTCACCATCACTTATTACCTGACTTTTTGATTCTAGCCATCCTAGTGGATGTGAAGTGGGATCTCGTTATGGTTTTGATTTGCTTTTCACTAATGACTAATGATGCTGAGAGTATCTTTTCAAGTGCTTATTGGCCATGTGTATATCTTACTTATAGAAACATCTATTCAGATCCTTTGCTTATTTTAAAATTGGTTTGTCTTTTTATTATTGTTGTGAGTTCTTTATATATTTTGGATACAAGTCCCATATTGGATACATGATTTGCAAATATTTTCTCCCATTCTGTCTTTTGACAGAATGGTGTCTTTTGAAGAACAAAATTTTAAAATTTTGATGAAGTCCATTTATCTATTTTTTTCTTTCATTGCTTCTGCTTTGGGTGTCTTATCTAAGAATCCTTTGCCAAGTTCAAGATCATAAAGATTTACCCCTATATTTTGTTTTAAGAATTTTAAAGTTTTATCTCTTGCATTTAGGTCTTTGATTCATTTTGAGGTCACTTTTGCATATGGTGTGAAGTAAGGGTCAAACTGAGGTCACTTTTGTCTATGGTGTGAAGTAAGGGTTAAACTTTGTTCTTTTGCATGTGGCTGTCTAATTGGCCGAGCACCATTTGTTGAAAAGACCATCCTTTCTCTATTGAATAGTCTTGGGATCTTTGTAGAAAATCAGTTGATCGTAGTTGTATGGGTTTATTTTGAGATAATCAATTCTATTCCATTGATCTATATGTTTATCCTTGTGCAGGACCATACTGTCTTAATTACTTGCTTGGTACTAAGTTTTGAAATTGGAAAGTGTGAGCTCTCCTTCACTTCTTCTTTTTCAGGACTATTTTTAACTATTCTGGGTCCTTTGCAATTCCATGTGAATTTTATTTTATTTTTTGAGGAAGATTAACCCTGAGCTAACTGCAGCCAGTCCTCCTCTTTTTGCTGAGGAAGACTGGCCCTGAGCTAAC